GGAGCGGCCACTGCACTCCAGTCTGGGCGACAGAGTGAGACTCCAACTCAAAAAAAAAAAAAAAATCAGAAAGGAAAGTGGGGACATTACAACCAATTTGGCATAAATAAAAAGAATTATAAGGCCAGGCACAGTGGCTCATGCCTGTAATCCCAGCACTTTGGGATTAGATGAGAGGATTATTTGAGCCCAGGAGTTCAAAACTAACTTGAGCCACATAGCAAGACCTCATCTCTCCAACAATCTAAAAGTTAGCCAGGTGTGGTGGCACATGCCTAAAGTCCCAGCTACTCATGGGGCTAAGGCGGAAAGAGCACTTGAGACTGCAATGAGCCATGATCAGTACTCCAGCTTAGGCAATACAGTGAGACCCCAACTCAAAAAAAAGGATGATAAGAGAATACTATGAACAACTATACACCAATAAATTTGATAGCCTAGATGAAATGGACAAATTCTAAAAACACACAAACTACCAAAACAGACTAAATAAGAACTAAAAAAATCTGAATACATCTACAACAAGCAAGGAGATTGAATCAGTAATTTTAAAAATCCCAACCGAGAAAAGTTAAGGACCAGATGCCTGAAGTTTTCAATGTTCCAGTCCTTCTTGAACTCTTACAAAAAACAGAAGGGGAGCTAATACTTTCTAGCTCTTTCTATGAAGTCAGCATTACCTGATCCAAAGCCAAAGACACCACAAGAAAAGGAAACTACAGGCTAATATCCCTTATGAATACAGAAACAAAAATTCACAACAAAATATTAGAAAACTAAGTTCAGCAGCATAGTTAAATGATCATACACCATGACCAAGTAGGACTTATCCCCAGAACTTGAGGGTGACTCAACATACAAAGATCAATCAATGTAATAATAGAAATGAAGAAAAAAACATAGGATCAGTTGATGCAGAAAAAGCATTTGACAAAATCCAGTACTCTTTCATGACTTAAAAAGAAAAACACTCAGTAAACTAGGAATAGAAGGGAACTTACACAACCATAATGAAGGTCATGTATGAAAAACCCACAGATAACATACTCGGTGGAAAGGATTTTCCCCTGAGATCAGGAACGAGACAAGAATGCCCACTTTTGCCACTTCTATTCAACATAGTACTGGAAGTTCTAGCCAGAAAAATTAGACCAGAAAAAGAAATAAAAAGCATCCAAACTGGAAAAAAGTACATTTGTCACAGATAACATGGTCTTATATGTAGAAAATCCTAAAGAAACCACAAGATGCTTGTTAGAACTAATAAATGAATTCAGTATAGTTTCAGGATACAAGTTAACACTAAAAAAAAAAAAAAATCAGTTGGATACCTACACACTAGTAATGAATAACTCTAAAAGGAAATAAAGAAAACAACTCCATTTACAAAACGAATACTTATGAATAAATTTAACTGAGGAGATGTAAGATTACTACACTGAAAACTATGAAACCTTGCTGAAAGAAATTAAAGAAGAACTAAATAAATGGAAAAACATTCCATATTCATGGATGGAAAGAAAATTATCAAAATAACAACACTATCCAAGGTGATCTACAGATTCAGTGCAATCCCTATCAAAATCTCAATGGCATTTTTTGCAAAAATACATAAACCCATTCAAGAATGTATATGGAATTTCAAAGGATCCCAAGTAGCCAAAACAATCTTGAAAAAGAACAAAGTTGGAGGATTAGCATTTCCTTGTTTCAAAACTTACTACAAAGCTACAATAATCAAAACAATGTGACACTGACATAAACATACAGACCAATAGACTAGCGAACCCAGAAATAAACCCTCGGGTATATGGTCAGTTGATTTTCTTTTATTATTATTATTTTTTATTTGAGGTGGGATCTTGCCATGTTGCCCAGGCAAACCTCAAACTCCTGGCCTCAAGCCTCCCAAAGTGCTGGGATTACAGGTGTAAGCCACAGTGCCTGGCCAGTCAGTTGATTTTTTAACAAGGGTGCCAAGATCATTTAATGGAAAAAGGACAGTCTTTTCAACAAATGATACTGGGAAAACTAGATGTGCACATGCAAAAGAATGATTCTGGACCCTTACCTTACACTATGTAAAAAAAAATTAGGTCAGAATGGGTCAAAGATCTAAATGAAAGAGTTAAAACTACAAAACTCTTAGAAGAAAACACAGGAGAAACCTTCATGGCCTTATATTGGGCTTCTTAAATATGACACCAAAAGAATAGTCAACAAAATAAAAAATAGACAAATTGGACTTCATTGAAACATCTGCATCAAAGACACCATCAAGGGAGTGAAAAGACAACCACAGAATGGGCAGAAATGTTTGCAAGTCACATATCTGATAAGGATCTATTATCTAGGATGCATAAAAAGCTCTTACAATAATCATATTTGCCAGAAGGAGGGAAGAATCTGGAGTCTGCAGTGTGGTGAGGAGGCAAGTGTTCCAGGGGAGAGGTAGTGAGGCCTGTGCCAAGGCAGTGACTGGTAAGAGAAGGGAGGGTCTGATGGATTCAGCGGATACTAAGGAGGTAGAGTGAGGCAGCCTAAGGACTGATCTGCTTTAGTTTGAATTATTAGTGAGGCTGGGTGCCAGAACAGTGGGGCGGGGGAGGAGGAAATGAGGGGATGAGGAAATGAAAGTGTTTGGCTGCAATAAATAGGGAGTAGGCCAGTTCCAGCCCACACACAGACCCCCAACTTGTGGCTCAGCACCTCGCCCACAGCTCATACCTTCTGCCACAGCCATGGCTCATTCTCTGGCTCTGAGCCTCCTTATCCTGGTTCTGACCCTGGGCATCCCCCAGACCCAAGGTACTAAGCGGGCAGGGGCCTTGGATGGGGGCAAGGGGCTGGAAAGTTCTGGATAGGAACTTGCAAGCAGCCCCTGGCTCCCTGTGAATTCCACCCTGCAGGCAGTGATGGAGGGGCTCAGGACTGTTGCCTCAAGTACAGCGTAAGGAAGATTCCTGCCAAGGTTGTCCACAGCTACCGGAAGCAAGAACCAAGTTTAGGCTGCCCCATCTCGGCTATCCTGTGAGTAGGCACAGGGGGGTGGGCACAGGCTGGTGGCTGTGTGGGGGGCATGGTGGGCAAGACTAAGAAGACTTACTCACCCCCAACCCCAGGTTCTCACCCCGGAAGCGCTCTCTGCCAGAGCTATGCGCAGACCCAAAGGAGACCTGGGTGCAGCAGCTGATGCAGCGTCTGGACAAGCCACAAGCTCCAGATCAGGGCTGTAGAAAGGACAGGGGGGCCTCCAAGGCTAGCAAGAAGGGAAAGGGCTCCAGAGGCTGCAAGAGGTGAGGAAGCCAAAGGGTTGGGGGAGGAGAACGAAGGGAAGCCCCAATCAGTCCCTCACACCCCTCTTCTGCCCTCCCAGGACTAAGCAGTCACAGACTCCAAAAGGGTCATAGCCTGGTGACCAGCCTGGAGCTCTGGAGGCCCCCACCAGCCTCACCAGGGCTTGGAGCCCTAACCCAAGGGGCTAGAAGAAAACTCAGGGGCCCTGGAGCAGCCGCCCTACACTAGCCTTCCACACTCCTTCTGCTTCAACCATCCCATCTGCATTCCCAGCCCTACCATGCATGGCTGAGTTGCCCACACCAGGCCTGGCCCAGAGAGACAGAGGAGGGAGAGTCTCCCAGGGAGTATGAGAGGAGACAGCTGGACTGTCCCATCTAAGGAGAATCACCCAGGGCCCTGGCCCTGATCTTGCATCTCACTGTACCCCCCTTATTCCCTGTAAATATGATTTATACTCAACCGAATAAAAAGCTGTTCCAATCTCCCCTCAACTACCTCTTTCTGTGTGTTTGTGTCCATGGGGATATCTGTGCCACTACAGGTTAGGGTCACACAATCTGGGGGTCCAGCCAAGAGATCGGGCTGGTAAATTGTATGTTCCCACCTCCCCCAAGAGTTTCCTTGCCTCCCATGTGCTGGGACTCTTGGGCAGTGAAAGGGAAGCTAATGATCAGGGTGGGACTGGGCCCTCTGAGGAATCCCTGCCAATGGAGAGATGGAGGACCCAGACCACACACCCCCAATGGCTCTGCAGGCCTCTGAGACCCTGAAAAGCTCCCTTCCCCGACTCTGTCCAGCACTCCTGCTCTCTTTACTCCAGGAATGACCTCTAGTCCATTTCCCAGATCTACCAGGGACTTCCTCCCTTGTCCTTGTGACCTACTGAAGGAGAACCCCTAAGTATCTCTTTGGAAGAGTCCCCAGGAGGCAAACTGTGGCCTGGGTCCCTCTATAAAACAAGCACCCACAAGAGTTACTGAAACCTTCCCTACCACAGTTCCACCTTGAGATCGCCCCTGGGAGGCAAAGACTCAAGAAAACGCAGTTCTCTTCCATGAAGCTCAGGCCCCTGATGTCTTCTCTTGGTTAAACGGAGCTTTTGTACTCTCTTTCTATGCCTCTCTGGATCCTTTATTCCTTTAGTTTCCTTCTAGGTAAGAAAGCCTCTTCCCTTTTCCTGTTTTTCTCCTTTCTCCCCCGGCTGGGACCCAGGCTATTTTAGCCCCTTCAACCTCTTGATGCCAAGGAATAAGTCTCCTGGGGTAGCCCTTTGGGACCCCAGGATTCAGAGATAAATCAGTCTCCTCTCCAAGAAGACTCCAGCCTGCCTCTCCTCCACCTCTTCCTCCCCGGGGCAGAGACTCTTCAGTCCGCCTCTCACCCCCAGGCAGGAAGAAATAAGGCAACTGAATGGGGTCCCCACAATGCAGGAAAGGAGGAACAGGTCCTGGAGGAGGGTCAAGGAAGGCAGGGACCCAAGAAGCTAGAGACGGATGCTCCACCACCTCTTCCTTTCATGAAAACCTGAGTATTCATTTATCATGAAAGTGTTAAAAGTATTTGCTTGTCTGCTCCTCTTGAGGTTTGTGAAGACAGGGGCTCCTCCCTACCTAGCCTCATGTGTCAGGTGTGAAATTAGTCCACAAACTCAGAGGTGAAAGAAATACTGCATTTTAAAATGTGCTTTAACTGAACTTAGTTTCTCCTCCAAACTCCTGCACTAAAGTGCTGGTGAGAATTCAATATCAGACTCTCTTGGGGATTCCATCTGCCAAGGACCATGCAAAGGTCATGGAATCATCAAGATTCAGGGGAAATTGTCTACCTCTTCCCTCCCCTGCCCAACACACATACCATCCCATCACTGAACATCAGTGTCATCAGTGAGTGTTCCCACCCCTGTGGTTCCAGCAGACAGGTCCTGGATTCTCAAATTCTTGGCTCTGTGTCACATTTGAGAAACTCTGGACTTGGACCTGGTCTCTCCAGACACCCCCAAAGCCTCTGGGCTTAGACCTGGCCTCTCCAGACACCCCCCAAAGTCATCTACTCAGAGTTTTGCCACTTGCTCCATCACAGCCAGAAATTCGAGCCCTGTGCTCCAAGTGGCTAGACCCACAGGCCAATCTTTCCAGCCCCTGCAGAGCATACCCACTTCCTCAGCTTCACTTTTTATTTTATTTGTTTAAGAGACCGAGTCTCGCTCTGTCACCCAGGCTGGAGTGCAGTAGCACGATCATAGCTCAGACTCAGACTCCTGGGCTCAAGCGATTCTCCCACATCAGCCTCATTGTCATTGGAACTACAGGCACATGCCTGGCGTCTTGCCTAGGTTTACTTTAGACTTGTACAAAAGGAGAAGGACCTTTAACATCAGGATGCCTCCATTCTCAGCCCTGCCAAAACCCTTGCCTGCTCTAAAGCAAAAAGAAAAACATAGGCAGAACAAACAAAATTTCCTATTTCACTCAATTCTCCTGCCACACATGCATGCCTGGTATTTGCCTCAAACCCTGCTCAGAGTAGGCATGCAATATATTATTTGTTCCATCAGAGAATGAGTGGCCACTCGCCTTGTCTGCCTCATTTTTTATAATGTTGTCTTGTTCTTCTTTCTGTAGGAAGCATAATTCAAAAAATATCAAATAATACATTCAGTTTAAAAATATCAAAAGTACCAAAAGGTTTCTTCTTAACCTCATTTCCGACTATTTTTAACTCTTAAGCTATTTCTTCTAGGACTTAGTGTCATATGTTTAAAAACTTTGTTTATGTCTCTGTTTTTCGATTTACTTTTTTTTTTTTTTGAGTTGGAATCTCACTCTGTCTCCCAGACTAGAGTGCAGTGGCCGCTCCCGGCCACCGCAGCCTCGACCTGCTGGGCTCCGGCGATCCTTCCGCCTCAGCCTTCCAAGTAGCTGGAACTACAGGCGCGCGCTACCACACCCGGCTCATTTTGATTTATTGTAGAGATGAGGTCTCGCCAAGTTGCCCAGGCGGGTCTCAAACCTGTGGGCTCAGGCAATCCACTCACCTCAGCCTCCCAAAGCATGGAATTATAGGCTGAGCCACCGAGCCCAGCTGATTTACCTATTTTTAAATGCTACGAATTGACTTCCTACTAGAAAAAGTGAAGATTTAGCTCTCTTAACAACCCTCCTCTCCTGTCACTGCTGCCTCTAACTGTAGTCACAACATGACATTTAGATCAAGATCACATTATTATATTTAGATCATGATTGCAGTTTACATGATTATGTATTATGTAATATGTATTATAACTACATATTACATTAGTATGACTATGTAAATGCCATTCACTGCAGAGCAAAGTAGTGTACTATGCTTACTTTTTGTTTTTATTAAAGTTCTAATTGCTCTTCCCTTTTTAAAATACATATCTCATTAGAAAAATCTAAATAACTGGCTGGGCGTAGTGGCTCACACCTATAATCCCAGCACTTTGGGAGGCCAAGGTGAGAGGATTGCCTGTGCCCACGGGTTCAAAACCAACCTATGCAACTTGGTGATACCTCATCTCTACAACAAATCAAAAAATTAGCCAGGTGTAGTGGCGCATGCCTGTAGATCCAGCTACTTGGAAGGCTAAAGTGGACGGATCACCTGAGCCGAGCAGGTGGAGGCTGCAGCACGCCAGCCTGGGCAACAGAGTAAGACTCTGAATCAAAAAAAGAAAAGAAAAGAAGAATCCAGATTACCAAGATAAAGTCACAATCGCAGGATATAGAAGACAAAAATATTGTAGTAAGGATCAACAAGACAAAAAGCTGATTCTTGAAAGGATAAATAATATTGACGGACTCCTGGCCAGCCTGACTACAAAAAGAGAGAGATAAAGTCCAAATAAACACAGTCAGAAACGGGAAAGGTAATGTCACAACTAACCCTGAAGAAATTCAAAAGATTGTCAGAGATTACTATGAACATCTGTATGCAAATAAACTAGAAAATCTAAAGGTTATGGAAGAATTCCTGGTATCACACAACTTTCCAAGGTTGAAACAAGAAATTGAAGCCCTAAACAGACCAATAACAATCCAGGAAATTGACTCAACTATAAGAAACCTCCCTACCAATAAAAGCCCTGGACCAGATGGCTTCTCAGTTGAATTCTACAACATATACAAGGAAGAGCTGATACCAATCCTATGAAAGTATTCCAGGTAATCAAGAAGGATGGAATTCTCCCTAGCTCATTTTATAAAGCTAATATCATATTGATACCCCAAACTGGCAAAGACCCAACAAGGAAAGAGAGTTACAGGCCAATTTTACTGATGAACATAGACACAAAAATTCTCAAAAAGATTCTAGCAAATCAGATTCAACAACGCATTTCAAGGATCATCCACCATGACCAGGTGGGCTTCATTCCTGGGCAGCAGGGCTGTTCAGCATTCACAAGACCACAATCATAATTCAGTACATTAACAGGTGTAAAACCAAGAACCATATGATTATCTCAATAGACACAGAAAAAGCATTCAACAAAATTCAGCATCCCTTATTGATAAAAAGCCTTGAATTCCTAAGCATAGAAGGAACATGCCTCAAAACAATAAGAGCCATCTATAACAAACCTGTAGACAACATTTTGCTTAATGGGCAGAAGCTGGAATCATCTCCCTAAGAACTGCACAAGATAAGGATGCCCACTCTAAACCCTCCTATTCAACATAGTACTGGAAGTCCTAGCCAGAGCAATCAGGCAAGAGAAGGAAATCAGGGGTATCCAAATAGGAAAAGAGGAAGTTAAACTATCCCTCTTTGCGGATGATATGATTCTATGCCTAGAAAACCCTAGAGAGTCTGTCAAAAACTTCCTCACACTGATAAAGGACTTTGGTAAAGCCTTGGGTTACAAATGAAAGTGCAAGACAGTTTCATTTCTGTACACCAACAACAAGCAGGTGAAGAACCAATTAAAAAAACACAATCCCATTCACAACAGCCACAAAAAAAATGAAATACCCTGGCATCCACCTAACCAGAGAAGTGAAAGACTATACAATGAGAATTACAAAGTGCTGCTCAAAAAAAATCAAGGATGATACAAACAAATGGAAACATTCAATGCTCATGGATTGGAAGAATCAATATTTTCACGATGTCCATCCTATCCAAGGCAATCTACAGATTCAATGCAATACCCATCAAATCACCAACATTATTTTTCACAGACCTAGAAACAATACAGAAATTCGTATGGAAGCAAAAAGGAGCACAAATAGCCAAAGCAATCCTCAGCAAAAAGAACAAAGCTAGAAGTTTCACACTTCCAGACTTTAAACTTTATTACAAGGTCACAGTAACCAAGATAGCATGTTATTGATACAGGAATGGGCAGAGATAGACCAATGGAACAGGGCAGAGATTTCAGAAATAGAAACATGGTCCCTCAACCAATTCATCTTTGACAAAACCATTAATAACAATCACTGGGGAAAGGAAACCAC